AGAGTCTGCCCTAACCGACGACATGTTTGAAGTACTGGTACGGCGTTTGAAGTGCGCAACTTCCCCTCTGGCCTTTGTTGGGAAATTATTCCATCATAGCATTTTATAAGGAACTCCCTCGATAAATACTGAAAAACCAACATGGACTTCTCTTCGTGAATCTCGTGATGGAGCTCCACCACACAATCCACGTATACGATTTCTTTTGGATTGTGTCGCCATTACCCTCGAACTACCATGCTGCCCACCGAATGGGAAAGCTCGTTCGATCGAATGATTATCCTAGGCTTCTTGGGAAAAAAAGGGGAGTTGACAGTTTTCATGTAATATCAGAAAAACTAGGGCTACCCGACGCATAACCTTATGGCTCAACAACATGCTCAACCGAACTGAAGGGTCATCCACTCCTGAAATCGCACTGAGCCAAACACGCCAGGAATGAAGTTTTGACATCATCAGTAAGGCTGAGAACAACAGATTTGTAAGATTAAGGCGAGTATACCCTATTTTAACGATATTTCACTATTCTAAGGTCGCACGGTGCTACTTGAGACAAAGAAGAGTTTCTACAATAACCCTACCCCCTATAGTGCACATGCCAGGAAGGACGTTTCTATAACGTGGGTAATGAAAGCACTATCCGCCGCATCGTACTGTCGCGTTCCGTGCTCGATGCTTTCGACAAAGAGGAGTGATATGAGATTCTGATCGTGACATTCCAAGATAATGAATGAGATCATGGAAGGCGAGAAACCTTTTAGCAAACACTCCTTAAGATGCAGAAAATGGGACGTGTCGAGTGAAACTACAAGTAGAAAAAGCATTCAGTTGAAATGATAATGTCCAAGATGTATATCTCATGTCTCAAACCATGGATTATGGTGGTATTTTGGGGAACCATAAATACAGTCACCATACTAGTTCTTTTGAGCTTGTAGTTTAACAAGACGGTTTCACTCCATATCTGGGAACGAGTGTTCTTGGCATACGGGAACGTATCTGGTGCACCAAGGCAATTGGTGCTACCGGTGCACCGGACCTCGTTGCACATTCAAAAATGTTCAAAAAAATCTGGAAAAATTTTAGTGTACCGATACAACATCAATCTATCTTTTCACAAAAATTCAAATCAAAAATCAAAACAATGGTCAAGATACAAAAATGACAAATTTGACATCAATGAGCTAATGGGCCAAAACTGAAGCCCAACTTGTGTTATGTATTATTCAGTGTCAAATTTGTTATTTTTTATCTCGAGCAATGTTTCGAATATTGATCTAAATTTTTGTGACAACATACATTTATGTTGTGTCAATGCACTAATTTTTCCGAATTTTTTTGAACATTTTTGTATGTGCAACGGACGACTGGTACACCGGTAGCACCAATTGCCTTGGTACACCAGATACATCCCCCTTGGTATACACTTGCATGAATCTATGGATTAACGCATAAATAACTTTTTAATAGGAAGTACTTGGCTTTTTCAACACCCTGAGTATCTGATCTCAATGCCAAGGAGGTGTTAAGGTGCTTGTTGATTAGGCGTTGACCAGGGCAAGGTCCGCACTAACAGTGTGAGACCCATCGTCGGCCCGCCCTATCTTGATGATGAAGGAGTTCTTCTGCTTGGCCGGCCTTACCAACAGCCCTGGATCCATGAACGTTGGCTGCAGCATGGCCCCGGGTCTCGAGACAGCAAGCTGGTGTCCGCTAGCTCCCCAAAGGTTGCTAGCTTCCTCTGTCCGGGCGCACTCGTGAGTAAGAGCATAAATCTCCACTACGGTGTGCGCCCAATGAGCCACCATCGCCCCGCGGACCCGGGCACTACATATGTTGAGGTAGAAGGCCGTGATGATGGAGGCAGTGGGCAGTCCTTCAATCTCGTCCTCCACTTGACGAAAGCGCCACATGTGCTCCCGAAGTTGCTCGCCTGGCTTCTTCTTAAGGTATTGAAGTGAAATGTAGGTAGGGCGAGCCACTGTGAGATCTTTTCCCCAACGAGGGATCTTGGCGGCAGTCACTCGGGGGCACCGCCTCCCTGCCTTCGGGGGTGAACCGCACAGTCCTGGGGTTGCCAAATGTGGGGTCCTTTCGAATGCAAGGCGGGGCGCCCTCCTTTCGCTGGCAAGGATGAAGATTTTGTGGATGCCCAGTGTGCGGGGCCGCAACTTTAGGCAACCAAAATGCTAAAAAAACTTTAGGCAATCGTACTTTGGTCATCCTCACCTCACGATGAAGAAGCTGATGACGATGAAGATGGATCTAGCGTCAAGAGAGACGTCGGCAGCTTTATTGATGTAGATCTGCACGAGCGCCCCCTGCATGGCGTGCCAGATGTCGAGTGGCATGTGCAGAACACACGTGTAACACCCTGGACGGATGACATACTTTTGCTAGTTCGGGGATGGGGCGCGAAGGTGAGGACCTACACTACTAAACTATACGAAATGGACACGATGATTTACCCAGGTTCGGGCCGCATGGTTGTGTAGTACCCTACTCCTGCCTTTTGTGTGTTTCATAGGTGTATTAGAGCTACAAGTCCTTCCCGGGAATGGGAGGCGTAGTGTGCTCCTACTGATGTTCTAATAAGTGTCCAACCTTGTTCTACTTGATCTTCTTCTACTCATCGTGTTCCTCTTTTTCCCCTCCTCTGGTCTGGCCCTCCTTTTATATTCCAAGGGGTACCACAATGTCTTCGAGGCTAAGGAAGTGGTCTAGGTCCAACCAGGTAGGTGAGTACATTAAAAGATGCTCAGGTGGTAGGGCAACAAGTATCGTAGCATCATCCGCATAAAGAGATGCTCGGGTGGTAGGGCTCTTCCGCCAATTGGGTGGAGCTTTCCTTGCCAAGTGGTCGTGGCGAGGATGTGGTGAAGCGGGTCAATGGCGAGAACAAAGAGCAGCGGCGATAGGGGGTCTCCCTACCGCGGCCCCTTGCCATGATTAATAGGATCACCCGCCAATCCGTTGAGCAACACTCGAGGGAAGCCGTTGTGACGGAGCATGTCCATGAGGAAGTCCCACCTAACCGAGTCAAATGCCTTTTTGATGTCAAGCTCGAAGAGCAAGGTTGACTTCTTGTTGCAATGAAGGCGTTGAGCAAGATTCTAAACATACAAGAAATTACAATGGATGTTTCTCTTGTGGAAATTTTCATGATGGAGGTAAAATGCCATTGGACGATGGTCTTCTTGTGCTCATGATTGGTAACCCATCCTTGGACATGCTTGAGATGGAGGATATTTTTTTCCTTCCCCGATGGTTGATGCGGAGATGAAAATATTTTGTGTTCGCATATCCCTCTTTGAGACTGGTGATCCTCGAGCACTGTCGCTTGCGAGCTCTCTCCATTGTCGCTAAGCCAATCACCCTTCTTTTTAACATTTTCCTTAGGTCCCTCTCATCCGTAGAGAGCACTTGAGTTTCTTGGGCCGTATCGAGGCGAAGAATGACCTCCAAGGCCATGTGGAGCTGAACCTTGGAGTTAGAGAAGACGGACCTACTCCAAGCACGAAGCCGTTGACCAGTATTCTTAAGTTCGTAAACAACTGGCAAGGATCAGAGCGGTTGCAAGGCCCGCTCCACGCCTTTTGCACTACCGGTATGAACCCAGGCATCTTGGTCCAGAAATTTTCAAAGCGGGAGATTTGGGTCGGAGAGGGCCATCTTTGTTCGCCAAGAGCAGAGGACAATGATCGAAAAGGGAGGATGACAATGCATGAAGAATGTGGTTTGCGAAAGCAAGGTCCTAGTCCTCATTACAGAAGAAAGAATCAAATTTACAAAAAGTTGGATGGGGCCGCTCGTTGCTCCTAGTGAATTTGCGGGTTTTGTAGGTGAATCTCCTTGATCTCATAAGAATTCAGGGCTGCTCGGAATCTGGTGATGCAGCTATGATCCGCATTCGGCTTATTTTTATCTTGGGCACAGCGGATCTGATTAAAATCACCGTTGACAAGCCACGTCACCCCTTCAGTCGGCTTCTCATGAATAAGCTCCTCGAATAAAGAATATTTCAGGTTTGAGCGCATCGGTCCGTAGATCTTGAAGGTGAGGTTGGAGGTAATAAGAGTGATCACTTGTCACTGAAGGTCAGGTTGGAGGAAATAAGAGTGATCACTTGTCACGTGGCCCTGACTTTGTGGGGCCTGGACGCCAGGTTCGCTGTCCAAACACAGTCAATCGACCAGTTAGTGCTCTTGGCAACTCGCTTACTGAATCGGTGTTTTCGGCAAACTTCTATGAAAACGATGGTTTTCCGCACTGTCCAACACAACTGCGGTGGTTTTTGACAATTTTACTTGTTTCCATCGTAAGTTGGTGCTTGATTTCCACCTGATATTCTCTCCGGTCACTGTCATGATGCCACCGCCAGCCCCGTGCTGCCTGAATGTGACCCACCCAAAAAGGAAACGAGACAGTGGTAACATCACAAGCACCCGGAGTAATGGCAAGTGCCAGCGATAACCATGCATGTTTATGGATTTGATCTGGCAAATGTACCAGGACCTGAAAGCGAGCCCTGTCACCCCCATCAATAGCACATGCAACTTAAATACTAGGCCGCTGCCATCGCTCATCATGGAAGCATGATATGATGGCGAAGACGACGTTTGTCTTTCATTTTTCTTTAACAAGTAAAAATCTGCTCTGAATAAGAGACGAGAGCCATACATGCACTAGGCTCTTCTTCCTGTGCCGATGGTTGATTCTCCAATCAGGGGAGTTTCTAAGCATCCATCTGAGCATTTGTTCAAATGGCAAACAAAACCCTGTCTGATTCCCCCCTCCCAAGTCAATGTTCCCAGAGTAATAGATACAGAAGCAGCTAAAAAGCTAAGCAACGAGAAGAAATCTTCACTGCGGAATTCTAATCATCCTTGAGGGCATCTGTCTATCCACGGCAACGGGGGCCACAGCCAATGCACGCGCCATTCCCCATCAGTGCTGGACGAGAACCCAACCTTGAACCACTCATGATGAACAGGTGAGTCTTAGGGCTGTTTGCCGTTGGGCCTTGGAGACTGGCGGTACGGAGAAGCGTGCGGACCATACGAGAGGCTCCTCATTGGCTGCACTCCGTTCCGTGCAAAGGTGCTCTGTGCCTTCATGCTTTGGCTACCATTTGGGTTGCCAAGGCTTGCGGCACGCTCTTGGCGCATGGACTGGAAGAAGTAGGAGGAGCTAGCCATGTCTTTCAGGTTTGGAAGAGGCTTGAGAACTTCCACCACTTGGCTCATGAGAGGCCTAGCCTTGGGATCCCGGCTAAGGCAAGCATGTGCCAGCTGAGCCGTCTTCTGAGCGCCTTTTATGGAGAAATTTCCCTCTAGACGGGGATCTACGAGCCTATAGAATCGCCTTCTTTCTCCAAGATAAGGGCGTGCCCATTCAACCAGATTGTGCTCCCCGTTTGGCCTGTTCTTGTCCATTGACCTTCTGCCCGACATCATCTCTAGTAGCACCACTCCAAAACTGTATACATCGCTCTTTGATGTCAGGTGACCTGAGCAAGAGATGAACTTATAAGCAGTAGAACATGCGAGGGAATTCAACAAGCTACACGAACCGAATAAAAGAATGAGTGGTAACTTGTCTATTTTCTAGGAGATTCATTCAGCTTAGTTGACCCAAAATGGGCAAGATTATCTTGAGCCTGTGAAATTATAATCATATTTCTGACTACCTCAGAGCGGAATGAATTCAGACGAACAGCTGTTGCACAACCCACAGCAGCACATGGACTGCCTTAAATATCCGTAATCACCTAAATTATTATGTTATGCAATGATAGCATCCACATAAATGCGAAGGTGGCCAGAAAGGTGCAGGCCCTAAAACACTCCACACACACACCATCCTTGTACACAGTCATTATAATATAGTTGCTAGGTTATAAGCCTATCAATGTACCTATCACCTATCAAAGGAAACATAACGCATTGTTTGTCGGATAAGTATGTATGAACTTCAGTCTATCTAGCATACATTGAATGATTGAAGTATAGGACACACTAGCAGTAACTGGACAGAACAATAAGGATAACATCATGCAAGATTTGCTCCAATTTTCAGGACAAGTTGAGCAGTAGTATGATGCAGGACAACAACTGATCGACTCACCTGTCATAACATACTCAGGAGCTGCATATCCATATGTTCCCATGACCCGAGTAGAGACATGTGTCTTATCACCCTCAGGGCCATCTTTCGCAAGTCCAAAATCAGAGAGTTTTGCATTGTATTCCTGGAAATAAATGTATAAGAAATGGGCAAATGTAATAGTCTGAATGATCATGGATTATCGGTTCTCAGTATAGTTGCATACCGCATCCAAAAGAATATTTGAAGTTTTGAAATCCCGATATATCACTGGCCTTTCAGCTTCTTCGTGAAGAAATGCAAGGCCTTTTGCAGCACCAAGTGCAATTTTCATTCTGATAGCCCATGGGAGCGGAAATGACCCTATTTAGTACAATTATTCAAGACAGTTATTGGACGAATACAAGACACTACAGAATATAGTTGTAATAAAACTACTCCCTCCGATTCAAATTAATTGACGCAGCTCTAGTACAAAATTGTACTAGAGCTGCATCAATTAATTTGGATCGGAGGGAGTAACAAATTTAGGTTTCGTCAAATTAGCACACAAGCAGAATTTTAGCAATGGAATAAAAAGTTAGTAGTAGCAAACAATAAGTAACGAATAATACCTACGAGTCGCATTCGACCAAGAGTCTAAGAGTAGAAGAGAAATATGCCATGTATTAACTATTTCAACAAGGGTAGATGTCCTGACAGAGTGAAAGTCTGCATCATATGTTATATCTGACTAAGAGTAAAACAAAATAGCACTTACTCCTGAAAAGATGATTCTCCAAACTTCCGCGGGGCATAAATTCGTATGCTAGCAACCGTTGGTCATCTTCAATGCAGTAACCAACCAATTTCACTAGGTGTGGATGTTGAAGGTTTCCAAGGAAATCAACTTCTGCCTGAGAACACATAATGATAGTTTACTTAATGAAGCAGTTAAAGCTAATACCATAATGTTTCGTGTGCTGCATACCAAAGAAAGTAAAAACATACCACCCACTCCTTATGCCCCTGAAGCCCATCATGGTTGAGTGTCTTGACAGCAACAGTTAATCCTGTGCCAGGTTTCATCGGAGCAGTTCCATTCTCTTCAATCCAACCTTTAAAGACACAACCAAAACCTCCCTCACCAAGAAGACTCTCAGGTCGAAAGTTTCTGGTGGCGCACTTAAGTTCATTGAACGTAAATCTACGCAGTTGGGCTGCTAGTTTAAGTTCTTCTCCAACTATGGAAGAAGGCGAGATGCTTCCAGTGTTGCTGGATGTTGTCGAACCAGATGCGGCTGGTGGAGCTGATTGATCCCAACAACTACGATTTACCTTTTTGCTCTCTGCACAGTAGACATTAACCATTAGGAGATCAATGCCTGATATAATTGAAATTTGACAAAGGTAGTGCCACAGAAATATGTGAATCCTTGCTTCTGAGTAAAACATCAGAAGCTGCAAAACAATAGCTAATGTGATAGCAAAAAATTTATGGGACTAAACAACAAGGCTGACAGTCTCTCTTATAAAGTAAAAAATACTACCACTAACTGTAAGATGGTCAACATTTTTTTCTCAAATAGGCAGAAGAGCTACGTATCATTGCATTAAGAAGGAAAAACACAATCCAACAAACACACACACCCCTACAGGATACAACACAAGCGCGCCACTGACTGAAAAACTACCTCGACCAGGACACTACTAGGTGGCCCACAGCAAGCTGCGCCAAACCGCAAGAAACAACAGGTGCCTCTAGCTCCCGCAAAATTGTTAACAGGCCCATATGGTAAGCAGGTGCAGCGTGTGCGATGACACAGGGCCCCTAAAATTTTGAGGCCTCAAAAATTATCTTAAATGACAATTAATAGTATTAATCAAGAGAATATCTAAGCAATGCTTCATCTCCTGTGCAACATTCCAACTTCCAAACGCCGACCAGTTCCAAGGCCAGCCAGTACACAAGCACACGCCTTTCTCTTGACCTCTCTCTCCATTTAAATCACAATTAATAGTATAAATCACCGCTCAGTTTCCACTAAAAAGATCACCGATAACTTTTTTTAAGGAAAATCTCCGGTGCATCATACTAGGAACTAGCACAACCTATATATTCAGCTATTCTTCTCCAGTTTTTCCGTTATCTTTGAAACAATTATTGGGAAGATTATGTTTATAGTATGATAAAATAAGTAATAATATTCGTAACTAGGATTTTCCATAAAAGGGCCTTATTTCATACTCCCCCCGTCCCACAATATAAGACTAGCTTGCAGAAACATCTTATATTATGGGACGGAGGGAGTACTATTTTGCACTGGCCCCCAGATTCTCGTGTACGGCCCTGATGGTCAACATGACTTATATATTTCTACTTCTTTAATGTGGATCAGGTATGAGGCCATGTGTAAGTCTATGGAATTAAAATCCAATTCTGCACCAAACATGACGGTATGTCCAGAGTTTATACAGCAGATGACTTTGTGGGGTCATACATTTTAGAAAGGTGGAAATGTTTTGGGTGCAACTCAACTGAATCAAATAGTCTGCTTGAACATAAGATATAAGTTTTCTCACTGAAGTAAACTTTAAATGCTAAAGGTATAACACTAATAACACAAAATGCTTTATAAGAAAATAGAGCGTGTGACAATTTGAAGTGACTTGATACAAAAATTATGACATAACCATCAATTACAGGCACCCTTTATATTTTAGTTTTGTCCATAGACCATAACTATAACTAGTGTTTCCTGCTTGAGCATTTCACTTGACACTCCCTTTGGACATATCCGTTTGTTATTCTGAAGCATGCATAAATGGAACCCTAAATGTTAAATCTCGGAACAAAAGTTGCCTTCTGTACTTAATTACAGAGAAATATCAAATATGCATAATGCCACATGGCCAAACGGTAATTAATTGTATGCGTCTACAAGCGTATAGACAAAAACAGACAAACATTGAATTTAACGACATTTGGGCGTCCCTTCAGTTCCTCCTAATCAGTTATCACCACTCCTGCAGCAACAAAACATCACCTTGCATTTTACCTGAGGTACTCCTGCTTCAACCACTACAGAGTCCCCTATTACCAGCAACCCGCAAACTTACCCCGACAAGTGCAAGCCACGCCCTTTTATACTAACAATTTAACAGCAGGCTCCCGAAATTGTCGCTGGAGCAGCAGCCCATCACGGATACGGCTCGATCTTAGCGAACCAAAGCGAGACGACGTGGGATTTTTGACAAAATCGAACGGCCAAAAGCGGCGAGAACTGAAGATCCAACGGCTGTCAACGCTAATAGCCTGAGATGGATGGAAAGTTGCACGGTTTTAATGCCTCTAAATATGCATAACACCACATGGCCAAACGGTAATTAATTGTATTGCGTCTAAAAGCGTATGGACAAAAATAGACAAGCATTGAATTTAATGACATTTGGGCATCCCTTCAGCTCCTCCTAATCAGTAATCACCACTCCTGCAGCAACAAAACATCACCTTGCATTTTACCTGAGGTACTCCTGCTTCAACCACTACAAAATCCCCTATTACCAGCAACCCGCAAACTTAACCCCACAAGTGTAAGCCCCGCCCTTTTATACTAGCAATTTAACAGCAGGCTCCCCAAATTGTCCCTGGAGCAGCAGCCCATCACGGATACCGCTCGACCTTAGCAAACCAAAGCGAGGCGACGTGGGATTTTTGACAAAATCGGACGGCCAAAAGCAACGAGAACTGAAGATCCAGCGGCTGTCAACGCTAATAGCCTGAGATGGATGGAAAGTTGCACAGTTTTAATGTCTCTAGATGGGTAATGGCAGCACTCCGACATGGCACAACATTCAGTTTACATCAACTCATGTACCACTGTGTGTAAATTAAACAGAAACATCTCATCTCATGACACCCCACACCATACCAACCACTCTTAAATGATCCTACCACCCACCAGAGCACACCAACACATCCAATTTCATCATAGAACGCTCCCATCGCCATCAACTTAACTTCAAGAGATATAGAATAAAAAAGTTCAGGCCTCTGTCATCTCGAGTGCTAAAACACAAGACACACAGCACCCGGGCAACCAATCAAACATACGGACGAGCATCAGGCATGGACAAACGCGAAGGCGTAGGCTGCTGCTAGTGCTGGAGAGCAGGGAAGCAGACCAGAAAGTGAACGCGATGTCTAGGAGGAGTGAGAGCATTTTACCGCCGCCGTTGGCGCAGGCGCCGCTGGTGGAGGAGTCGACCTTGGAGCCCGAGGACATGCATCCGCCGCCCAGTCGCGGTAGCCGGATCCAGCAACCAGTGGGAGGCGCCGCATCGTCCTCGTCCATTGCCGCCTCCTTCCCCTTCCGCCGCATCACATCCTGCCCCCGCCGCGTCCCCTCCTTCCCCATCTCCTATCCAACCCACCCGCCGCCACCACCCCGCGCACCGACCAACTCAGCAGCAGCGTCCCCAATGCTTCTCAGCGCGGCAATGGAAGCCGCCCGCGCGGCCTCCGGAGGTGAGCATCGGGGCGGGGCGGGCGGAAGGGAGAAGCAGGGAAGGAACTAGCAAGAGAGAGGGTGAAGAGGGGTGGGGGTGTCGGGGCAGGGCGGGCAGGGGAAAGGGTAGGCTGCAGTGCAGGGAAGGATTCGGGCAGTGCGGGCAGGGTACTGGGAATTTGCCAAAGACCAAAGACCGAGGGCTGGGCGACGACGAAGGAGGAGGCTGCGGCCGGAACGGTGGTCGCTTCTTTATGGCCTCCTTCTACACGAGGAGCGCCCGTTTCTGATGCGATTTAGCCCAACGCCCCTCTGAAATATACGCATTTCTTTCTCTATCCTCACTAATGGGGATTCGCTTTATTTTGTTCAACGAGTCAAAACCTAGGCCCTGTTTGGACCAGCGTTTTCGTTTCAAATACCTCCGTAAAAATTACATCTCTTGGTTGGTTGTTTTAACACCGTATCCGTCCGTTGATCGGTGGGGACTAGTCCGCGAACACTAATACGAGAACTGGTCATTCAATCATACATTTCAAAATAAAGTCCACCAAACCATATGAATTACATACAAAACGGATGATTTTCATATAAACCGAAACACATTCATTATATTTTTTAAAAAAACTACCGGACCTAAACCTAGTCTACAGCGACTCCCGTCTCCACGTCCTTGCTGTTCCTTTATGGCATTCGTCGGGTCGATTGGCAAGAAGAGGACTCGATCACCAAGACAGTTGCCCAATGTGAAACCAAGCAGAGGAGAGCATTAACCGCATCCTTTTACAATGTGTCGTTGCACGGGAGGTGTGGACCGCGATCTGCCGCCCCCTAGGCAAGCCAGAGTGGATACCCACAGCGAACGACAACCTCGCTGCATGGTGTCAAGACAAGGGGGGAAGAGGACAGACCAAGAGGGATGCAAATGCAATCATCATTCTAGGCCTATGGCAACTATGAAAGCACCGCAACTCTATCGTCTTCGACGGGGCCACACCTTCAAAGAATCGGGTTATCCATGCCGTCGTCGGAGAGGGTCGCGTATGGAAACAGGTGGGCATACTAAAAGGGGACATGAATGTGTTCTTCACAGAAGTGGAAGGGTGGGCTGCAGAGAGTAGCTAGACATATGAGAGGAAGGTGGAGGGTGGGGTTAGTGTTCGGTGTGTATAAATGTAATCTGTAACACTAACGTGGACGGGCTCTTTACCCCGGTTCCTTCTTTATAATATAGTACGCACACTCGTGCGTATTCGAGAGAAAAATCTTCCCGTCTCCATGAGCGGTGACGATGAGACTCGTGAAGTGAAGGTGTGGTCGCCGACGGGAAAGAGTAGGACAAGGGAGATGGACCAGCCCACTTGGGACACAAGGCCATGCGGCCTCCCATGCACTACTACTACTCCTCGTCGGAGTCCACGACCTGTCCGTCGTCGGTGGACGTGAGTTCCACGATGGATGTGGACGGGCGGAACACTCATCATCCCACGGCGCCAACGAAAGTTTGTTGGCGCCGCGTAGAATGCATAGCTGGCAGCGTTCTTGACGGCCGCCAGCACCCTCCGCATCGGCCTACACCGTGATCAGGTTGCGAGTGGCGGCGTGAACGCGAAGCCTCGTAGATCGCCGGTTATCGGTGACGAATTTGGGGTTCGCCGCGTCTATGGCCGCCACGGCTTCCTCACTCGCTCGCTCGACATAGATTTGGCCCTCCGTCGACCGATGCTGCTCGAGGAGGAAGAGGTTGTACCGTTGCTCCTCCTGTGCTTGTCATAACGCCGACATCAGATGCTCCTCCGCCATAGCGACGTTGAAGTGTGCCTGCGCATGCTCCATGGTGCAGCCCCCATGGACCGGCGCGGGTTCCGGCATCGAGTCGTCGTAAGAGCCCGTCTCCACCATGGGGTCATCATCAGAGTGTTGGGGAATGTAGCATGCAATTTCAAAAAAAAAATCCTACGCTCACGCAAGATCTATCTAGCAGATGCATAGCAACAAGAGGGGGAGAGTGTGTCCACGTACCCTCGTAGACCGAAAGCGGAAGTGTTTTGACAACGCGATTGATGTAGTCGAACTTCTTCTCGTTCCGACCGATCAAGCACCGAACGTATGGCACCTCCAAGTTCTGCACATGTTCAGCTCGATGACGTCCCTCGAACTCTTGATCCAGCAAAGTGTCGAGGAAGAGTTACGTCAGCACGACGGCGTGGTGACGGTGATGGTGAAGTGATCTGCGCAGGGCTTCACCTAAGCACTACGAAGATATGATCGCAGGCGTAAACTGTGGAGGGGAGTTGGTGTCTTTGGGGTGCCCCTGTAACACCCCGTATGTAACTTTCCCAATTTGTACTCCAACTCTTGCCGCTTCAGGCGTTAAGTTATTTTATTTTCTCGGGTTCGGGTTTTTGTCTCCGTGTGTTGTTATCGTTGTCATGCATCTCATATCATGTCATCATGTGCCTTGCATTTGCATACGTGTTCGTCTCATGCATTCGAGCATTTTCCCCGTTGTCCGTTTTGCATTCCGGCGCTTCGTTCCCCTCCGGTGGTCATTTCTAGATTTCTTTCATGTGTGGGGATTAAACATTTCCGGATTGGACCGAGACTTGCCAAGCGGCCTTGGTTTACTACCGGTAGACCGCCTGTCAAGTTTCGTATCATTTGGACTTCGTTTGATACTCCAACGGTTAACCGAGGGACCGAAAAGGCCTCGTGTGTGTTGCAGCCCAACACCCCTCCAATTTGGCCCAAAACCCACCTAAGCCTTCTCCATCATCTAGAGCGTTCGATCACGATCGCGTGGCCGAAAACCGCACCTCATTTGAACTCTCCTAGCTCCCCCATTCGAATCACGGACGAAACCCTAGTTCCCCTCCTCCTCCAGCCGCCGGACAAAATCCGGACGGCCGGACGTGTCCGGATCCTCCCCTCCGCCGCCACGTGTCACGCCTCCATTGGATCCGCGCCGCCGCCCCACTTCGTCGCGCGCTGCCGGCCCGGGAGGCCCAGGTCGGGCCCCCGAGGCCCACGACCATCCGCCGCCGCGCAGCCCGCTCGCGCGCCGCCCATCGCGCCGCCGCCCGCTCACCGTCCCCGCCGCCTTTTGCCCGCGCCGCCGCTCGCCGCCATCGCCGGCCGCCGCACC